TTTTAAATAAATAAATTAAACATAACATGGTAATTTGAACCAATTAAGTAGGCCAGTATAATTCGATTTTAATTGAACACAAACTAATTAAAAACTGTATCCTATTATCAAATTAACCTACGCTTAAACTTTAAAAATATACCGTAAGTTTAAAAATAGCGCCAGTGAAAGAAATGTCAAGAAGTAACCATCTGTCTTGGTTTTTTTTTTAATGGGTGGTAACGGTACCCCGTCTGTGCTGTCGGTATACACTGGCGGGGCACCAGTGAGAGATGATAGGTGAGGATAAAGCAGGTCAGTTAGTCCATCCTGACGAATTCAACTAGAATTGGCCACAATGGTTTCCAGGGGGAACTACGTGGAGGTCGACCTGACAGGGTATATTGCTAGTAATAGGGCTATTTGACCCCATTACTAACAATACCTCCCCCCCCCCCCGGGCAGTTATATTTGCATGGCTGTTTCGATTTGAAGGGTTGGATACGGCAGTGAATTTACAGGGTATAGAGAAATAACACTTGAGTGTTATTTCTCTACCAAGTACCAAGATATCAAGACAGGTATGGTCATGCGATGCTCAGGGATGAAGAGTAAGTTTGAAGGAAGGTATTAAATATGAATGTGGATGGTTATAAAGGCAAAGGAAAGACCTAAAAAGGCAAAAAACGTGCCTACAAACGTTTACTAAAAGGCCAGCAACGCACAAGCAACTCCTCTCGCGTTGTAAGTATTCATGGGCGACGGTAACTGATTTTTTTAATGAGTGATAATGGAGTGGTATCCGCACCTGCGCTATCGGTATACACCGGCGGGGCACCAGTGAGAGATGATAGGTGAGGATGGAGCAGGTCAGTTAGCCCATCGTGACGAATTCAACAAGAAGTGTTCACGATGGTTTCCAAGGGGAACAAACACAACGATAGAAAGAACTCTAAGAAGAAGAAAGAAGAAAACTCTATCAGAGTTAAGCTCGCCTTTGTACTTTTGTTTACTTCTGTCATATTTTTATAACTAATGTGTACAATAAAGTATTAAATAAATAAAGTATTGAACGATACAATTGTATAAGTACAGTAAGGCGGTCTTATTGCTGAGAGCAATTTTTTCAAGACAACCTTAAACTAAAAATTACCTACATTTTTGCAAAATATATATATTTTTTTATGAAACAAATTTTTTTATTATTTAGATTTAATAATTAAACTATTGAACCGACTTTGATAAAAATTTTATGGAATCGATCTGTAAGTATATCCTTTTAGATATAAAACAGAATTTTCCAAATCGGTTTATAACTAACGGGGTTATAAGGTAACAGTCATTAAAACGAATACAGCCGATTTGAGAACTTCCTTTTTTTCGTATAAAGTCTTTTGACAAAATTTTATTAAAATCGGTTGTGTAATTCCGGAGAATACCGCAGACGGACATCGTGACACAGCATTTTTATATAATATTTTTATTCTGTCGTTTTGAGTCTCACTATTATCGTTTATAGGTACAATCAGATCCTGCGACGCGCATTATCTGATCCACGCGAACCTAGTCACTTACATGGAAACTATAAATATGAGACAGACAAACAAACGCTTACGAGGAAAAAGGACAGGTGATTTTTATTTATGGCGTCTCGTGCAGGAAGTGAAGTCGGGCCAAGTGAAGGGAATTCTGTTATGGTGTATGACTCAATCGCTTGCAACTACAATAGATTAGTGTTCAAGATAGATCTAGAACAGCTATTGTGATAGGGTTGTGTTGTCATCAGTTTGAATAATGGTAAATCTTAGACCATATAGATAGAGCATCGAGCCTCAAAAACGGCTCAACTTTTTGTCAGCTAATTGTCAATTGTTTTTATCAGTGTTCTATATACTTACGCACATAATGTATCTTGGTGGGGGGAAAGGGGTTGTTAGCAATGGAGTTTGACAGCCCCATTGCTAGCAATATGCCCTATTAAGTCGACCTCTACGTGGTTCCCCCTGGAAACCATCGTGAACAATTCTTGTTGAATTCGTCACGATGGGCTAACTGGCCTGCTTCATCCTCACCTATCATACTTAACTGGTGTCCCGCCGGTGTATATCGATAGCGCGGATGGGGTTACCATTCCATTATCACCCATTAAAAAAATGTATCTTGATATATCTTTATTGAAATATTTAATAAATATAATGAGTTTTTGCGCATTAAAAAGATGCGAAATTTATAAAACAAAATAAATATAGTATTTATAAGGGAATCACTCATGACTATTTATCACGCAAAATTTTATGAAAAAGTTGACCCGTTTTTCTCGAAGCATTTGTATGGAGACACTCTATCTATATATTCTAAGTGTAAAATATACGAAACAAATACTAATTTATTAACTGACTAATAAATCTACAAGATAAAGACACTGAATTAGTTAATTTAGTCCTTAAAGTTATTACGATATGGTCGCCGTTGTTTCTTGCTATACTGTCGGTACACGGTGTCTCGATTGCCAACACTAAGGGCATTTTGTTTATGGATAAACTAGCTTTTACCTGCGACTTCATCCGAGTAACCGGGATAGGTTTTACTAACCGGGATAAAAAGTAGTCTCATATAGTACGTGTATACCAAATTTCATAGTAATTGGTTAAGACGCTATGAGGTAAAAAACAAACTTACTTTTACATTTATAATAAGAGATTATTTGTTATGGGATATAAAGGCTCCATTGTTAGCAATACAACCTCCGTTTGACATCCTCGCAAACTATTGGTGTTACCATTTTCATTATTGTCATTAAAAAAAAAAACAGAACTCCCGCCTGCGCTATAGGTATACGCTGTCGGAGCACCAGTGGGAAAAGGTGATGATGAAGTCCAGTCACTTGACGACCTGATAGGGTATATTGCTAGCAATGAAAGCTGCTAGTCACCGTTTTTAACAATCTCTTCCCCTCATAAGAGTTGCGGGAAGGATGCTCGGCTGATGTCCTCTTCCACGCTTTTGCAGTCCTACTTGAAACAAATTCTAGATGATCAATCATTTGAAGTGCTTTTGAAGTGCATATTTAAAAAAAGAAAAGATTGCATTTATTAAAGATATATATTCTCATTACTCCTCTCCATCCAAAGGTTGCCTGGAAGAGATCGCTCTTAGCGATAAGGCCGCCCATTGTTTTCTCATTGTGATTATTTCTTGTAATTATTTATATTTATAATAAGTTTACTATTGTAATCTTTTGGAGGAAACAATAAAGAGTATCTATCTATCTATCCGTTTTCTATGCCAGTTTATAATAATTATACATAAATAATTAATAAGCAAACAATTTATACATACCTAACGGGAAATTAATGAACTCACTGTGTTTTTGTCGTCTTCGACATTTGTATCGACTTTATTCGGAAGTCTTCGCCTCGCATTCGTTACTTATATACATAGACGTCGAATAAAAGTAAACATAAGTTTTGGAAATATTCATATTTATGAAGTAATGCCTGTCTAAGCAATTAACTTAAGCCTTAAAAGCTTGATTTTTTAAATCAAATTAAAAAATATATAAGTGTATCCTTTACTGTGTTTACTAATGGAGAAAAATAGTAAAAAATCAAAATTTTTATATATTTATTTTGAAAAAATATTTGGTAACATATAAACAACCAAATATTCAAATAAAATCGATTGTAAGCGCCCAATGCGATTTATAACTCCGGTATCAAATTTAAAACTTCAGGTATTTAAGGATAAAATCTTAACAAAATAAAGTATTTCACTTTCTTCCTTGAAATTATAAGCAATTTAGCAGTTCACAACGGAACCCCAAAAAGGAAGCCCAGGGAACCCTACCAATAAACGTATCTAACGCGGTTTTTGTAGATTTTTTCCTTGTCGTCTTTGATACGTGACCAGTCGTCACGGCTGGTGGGCAGCGACATTTTTATTGCTGTTTTTGTTAACTAGTTGCCAAGTAACGATAAAGTGAAAAGTTATCGCCTTTGAACAAAGCTATTGTACAGTTTTAATTGTCAATCCGCCTACAAAGCTTGGCAAATACTGGCAAAAACCCTTTTATGAGAGAGGCTTATGTTATTAAATATATATGTTGTTTTTGTTAAGAGATGACTTTAAGCGACTGTAATATTTGTTTTTGTGCTTAATTTAATTTATATTTTCATGTAGGTGCTGTATGAATTTTATTGTACCTACTATGACATCCAAATACAAATTATTGTTTATGAATAAATAAATAAATAAATGTTCTGCGGTGGACAGTTAACGCCTGGTATGATATGATAATTATAGTGTATTAATTAAATAAAATCTTTCCAACTAGTGTAGTATACGTTAACGGGGTCTCAGAATTTTTTTTCTAAAAAAAAAATATACTTGCAAAAAAAGAACAACCTGTATCCATGTCAATAGAATAGCGTAATAATAAGTATGTACGAGTATACACACTTTGTATTGTGTAGTGCCATTGGTACAATACACATACAGGTTGTTATTATTTTCTTTGAGAATTTTATTTGTTCATACCCATAACTAGGCGGGGAGGGGTATTGAGAAGCAATGTCCTACCTTAAAATGCCCAATGAATCCTACCTTAAAATGAAAGGCCCCAAATAAATAAGACAGATTCGCTTTTTTAAAGTCACTTAATTAGGCCTTCTGCCCTACCAAAAAGTTCTTTTGCCCTACTTTAAACTTGGGTTTAATTACAGCCCTGTATTTGATGTTTTTTTGATTTGTTGTTTGTGTTATAAAAATTATAAATTTTCAACCGATTTCGTAAAAAGGAGGTTCTCAATTCAGTTGTATTTTTCTTGTACTTCTGAATTCTGAACCTATTTAGATTTTTTTTTTATCTAAAAGGCCAACTCACAGATTAATCCCAAAGAAATTTTAATAAAATCGGTTCAATAGTTTACTTTTGAAACCAAAATAACTGGTTTTTCCACAATTAAAGCCGATTTTTTTTTGTAGGACACAATTTTTATATATTATCCATTTTTCTTTTACAGATAACAGAAAAATGCTGCCAAGGAAAAGAAGCACATTGGTCTTAACAATATTGTTCCTGATAAAGTCATCTGAACAGCATGGCTCAGGAGCTCCTCCTGGGGTGAGTAAATTTGAATTCCTTCCTAGCTCACAGCTATATCACTACATAGTATAAAACAAAGTCGCTGTCGCTGTCTGTCCGTCCCTATGTATGCTATCTATTAAAAAAACCGCATCAAAATCCGATGCGTAGTTTTGAATATGAATAATTGTATTGTCTGGGAATCGAACTCGCAACCATCGAAAATTGAAGCAGTTTTAAAGCGCTTCACGAAGGTTGAGAATGCTCAATGATAAGTAATGACTTATCCACATTATTTGAACCGATGAGGAAGAAAGATTCTTGATTGGCGACCCCGTACGTGCAAACGTTGTGTAGGACGACTCCCCCCCCCCCACTAAATGGAGGGACGACTTCAACGCATTGCAGGGAATCAGTGGATGCAGGTGGCTGAGGACCGTTCCTTATGGTAGTCAATGGGGAAGGCCTATGTCCAGCAGTGGACGGAGAATGGCAAAAATGTTGTTCATGATTATTATTTGAATCTATTGTGATATTATCTTCTGTCTTCAGGCTTGCATCGACCAGCTACCACGACATTCAACAATCGAGCCACAGTCCACTGTACCCCCGTACCTGATACTCACATCATCGTCCCAAGTCCGGCAGGGAGACACCCTGAATGTGACTATAGGGAGTCCAGCGGGGGCGCCCGTCCCCATTGGAGGGTTCATATTACAAGCCAGAGAAATACAAGTAAGTGTAACTATTATTTTTTTTTTACAACACAGGGGGCAAACGAGCATGCGGCTCACCTGATGGTAAGTGACTACCGCCGCCCATGGTCACCCGCAACACCAGCGACATTGCAGGTTTGCTGCCGGCCTTTTAAAAAGGAATATGCTCTTTTCTCGAAGGTTATATAACTAATTGCGCGATTTCTTTGAGTTATATTTCCAATTAGATAGATATTTTTAAATTTCATCGTATTTAATTCAACGTTTTGGAATTAATTTTCTTTCTCAACCGACTGCAGACAGAAAGAGGTTTTCAATTCGGTACTTTTTTATGTTTGTAACCTTATATTTTAGTTGGTGTTAAATCGTTTTGAAAAATAGTAATAAGTCGATTTGGAAAATTATTTTTTTATCTGAAAGGATCTTATTTATTTATTTATAAAAGACACACCAACAATATGCTCACAAAAATTAAGCAGACAATGTACAATGATATAAGTAAGTAAAAAGTGAAAAACTACTATTAAAAATGCTTAAATCTTAATCTTTTATATTGCTAATAGAAATTTTCATTATAAAATCGGTTCAGTTATTTTTGTTTTCAATCGTGAATCAAAATAATTCGTTTAGCCATGATTTATGTCGGTTTTTTTATAAAGCAAAATCTTGAATTACTCGTGTAAATAATTTTAAACGACTACCACATTACCTTAATATCTGTGACGTATACTAATTAAAACAAAATAAAGATTTACGAGTGTATTTCAACAAAAAAAAAATGTCTAAAAATGGTCATTATATATCATGCATATATATAATGATTTATAATAATATGTAAATATTTTAATTTCTGTCTTGCACTACTACTGCCCACTCACTACTTCCTATGCCACTGCGTTAGGTTGACTGGAAGAAATCTCTTTTAGAGATAAGTTCGCCTTTGCTAACATTGTTATTAACTTATTGTTGTTACTGTATGTTTTAGTGCAATAAAGAATATATATATTATAGTATTTTAAATAGGAATACAGGAAGAATTTGCTATTTTTGACAAGATTTTGCAGGTATTTTACCTAAGAGTAACGATGTCAGTTTTTATACATTGATGTTCAGATTAATTCCTTTATTCCATCTTCCTCTTTCCCTATATTTCCATATACTAAAGGGAGACTTTGTACAAAAGTCGTTTGCTTGGGTACCTCTGTCCCATTCGTGTTACAACCGTAATGCAGTTGTGTTTGCATGGCTGTGTTTCGGTTTGAAGGGTGGGATATGGCGTGAATTTACAGGGTACAGAGGAATAACACCTGAGTCCTCAGGAATGGCAACGCATGGGGGGTATCGTGGGCGAAACAGTATACTCTGTTATGTCCATGGTACTGCTCATGTCTATAGGCGACGGTTACCACTTTCCATCAGGTGGGCCGTCAGCTTGTTTGCCATTCTAAGTTGTATAAAAAAAAAGACAATTACTTACGTAAACAATTTTCCTGTCCATCAAACTAGTCTGTGTTGAAATAATTTCCTGTAATTTTGCATGAATAATATTTTGTATGGTATACTACATAGTTTGTATGCGTCATTTCTGGGAATACAAAATGTGTAGACGTGTGCGTAAACTGTTCAGTTACGCTCTGATTTCATGATCAATTTATAAATACGAATTGCAGTATAATTAGAAAAAAAAAAAACAACATAAATTACCACGCAGTAAGTTCGTACGTAGGTACGAACATTAGGTTTCTGTGTTTACAGAAACGTAATGAATAAATACCGAAAACGTTAATTGGGGCACTTCCATACAGATTTATTTTCATCATCATTTTTATATCATCAGCCGTTATCTGTCCACTGCTGAATATGGGTCTTCACCTGTTAATTTCAAAGTGAAATTGTAAAAAAATAATTTCATTCATGTAGGATGATTAAATAAAACAAAGTACCTATCTCACTCACAATTGTTATCCTTAATGGGGTAGTCAGAGATATTTTCCTATCTGTTTTTTATAAAGGGTGAAATTAAAACAGTATTTCTGTCTGTTCTATCGGTATACACTGGTGGGTACCAGTGAAAGATGATAGGTAACTATGAAAGCAGATCGGGAATGGCAACGCATGGTGGGTATCATGGGCGAAACAGTACACTCTGTTATGTCCATGGTACTGCTCATGTCTATAGGCGACGGTTACCACTTTCCACCAGGTGGACCGTCAGCTTATTTGCCATTTTAAGTAGCATAAAAAAAACTTTTACATTTATAATTATATTGATTATTTTATTTACGTTTCAGAACCCAGATAAGATTGTGGGCAAATTCATCAGTGTGCCAGACCCCGCGGCCACCCACATCATCAACTGTAGGGGCAACAATGATACCGTAACGCACTCATCACCCGATGATAAACCGGCCATGACATTCCAGTGGCAAGCTCCTACCGACTTCTTAGGCGGTATTGAATTCAGGTAACACGGGTAACAATGTTCATTAGATACTACTAATATTAGGAAGCCTATTACCGTATGATCCCGGCACAGATTGCGCCACCCCTTCCTTTCCTGTGTGTGTCGTAAGAGATGATTATGGGCAGCAGCGTTTCTCTTAAAACATCAACAAATACAGATTGTATTTGGTGGTATTATGCCTTTAAGAGAAATTGCGGTTGCCATTCCGCCTACAAAGCGTGATAACTATTGGCAAAACCCCCTTATGGGAGAGGCTATGTTCAGTAGCGGCCAGTTAACGGGCGATACAACTATGTGAAACTTTAATATTAAAGTTTGAATAAATAAATGTTAATTCGTCGTATTTAATTCGTTTAAAATTTCATTAAAACCTGGCCTTTTAAATAATAATAATTATTTCAGTAATAAACATTCAAACAATTACGTAGGCAATAATTATTCATATTTATACTTTCCTTTTCGTCTACATTGCTAGAATCTGCGGGTCTACCATGAAATGAAATTCCGAAATTTCGGACTCAATTTCGTGTTTTTGTTTATACTAAAATCGGATCAATAAATGGAATTTAACATTTCGTTCGTCATACATCCTATCATAAATGTCCAAAAGAACAATATTGTAACATTTTTAATATTTTCAAAAGGCATGTATTATGTAATTTTAACATCAAATTTGTGTTTCGTTTGGCTCCGAAATTTCGGAAAACACTTCATGGTAGGCCCTCTGTTACAAACACATGACTGACTCAAGACTAGACACTTTATTTCTGCAAAATAAGAAGAAATATTAAGAATACACAAAGACAAAAATTATTATTAATAATCCGATTCACCAATGAACAAAGAAAAGGATAAAAATGTTCCGTGCCTGGTCCGAGACGAGAAAGACATTCATTTCTCAGCTATAAATTAAAAATACCATCTGCTTCCCTTCACTGAATTCACTTTTAATTATTTTATGGAAAGATTCATCTCGTCCGGAAAGAGACAAAGTCTTTAAATAATCTAAATGTCCCTCGGCCGGGTTCGTGTCATACTTCCTATATTATTCCATCTAATACTTACTCCCCTCGATTTCAGGAAGTTTCGGTAAGAATCATTGGTTACAGTCATATTTAAAATATTTCCTTCCTTCCTTCCTTCCTTCGCATGCAGGCGACCTACTTGTTTCTTACGTAGTTCCTAGAGTTGTTAGAATACCCTTGACAAAATATCTTAAAAACCAATTTATAACTGTACCTGTGTTTATGCAAATAAGTTTCTTAATCGATTGACAAACGGAGCTGGCAAATAAATTATTGATTGGTTGATTGATTACCGAGGCTCTTGCCTCGAAAGACGAATTTTCAGAGAGGCCAAAATGGGCCATAAATTTTTAATAAGAGGGAAGGGGGGCGCCAATGTGAGTTATTGCCCGTTTAACCTAGTTACACCCCTGGCACCGCGTGCTCGTTTACCACCTTTTCACAAAATAAAGTATTTTAGTTTAAAATGTAGCTTTATCACGTTTATACATACGAGTAAGTACGGTTTAAGACATTTATTTCTCTAAAGATTTACATAAATCACTTAAATGAGAAATTTAAAACTATGAACATGCACTTAATATCTACTGTTAGCGAACGTAATTTATCAAACATCGACTAAAACTAAAACATAATGTGAAACTACCTTCATTTTATAAAAATTATAAAACAATGCGACTCAATACAACTAGTTGCTTATAATGTAAGGGCAATATCTACAATCTTCGGTTAACTGATGGTTAACTTACATTTATTGTACTATTATTTTATTTATTATTTGTCTCATTCAGTATACACTTAAATACGCAATTCACATGCATATACATGTATATCACTGTTGGCGAGTAATAAGTAGAGTAATAAGTATATAAGTTATATAAGTAAATAAATATAATATTAATAAATGTTTTTTTATTCAAGTAAATTTAATTATAAGTATTAACTACGAGTATTTTTGAATAGTATTTTTTTTTATAAACATACCACCCAGTTCGGAATGCAATTTCAGCTAAGAAAGAACGGCAAGAAACGAAAAATAATTGCTTATTTTTTCAAATAAACATTATTTTACAAAAAAATTTAATGGATAAAATGACTATCACGAACTTCTTATTGATAAAAAGAAAGAAAATAAAAAAAAATTACAATAAATTTTCAGAGCAACAGTAGCCCAAACATACGCAATGTTCTGGAGGAACGTGGAATCGCCTCTGGTGGAAGTGGTGACACCAGACACCATTATCACCACGCTGCCTCCCAGTCCAACTACAACCAGTACCATAAGAGAGCCGCCGGTTATCATGGAGTCTAAGGTACTAATGTTTTCTTCGATTTAAAAATCTTTTTATTGATAGGCTCGATTCTAAGGCACCGTTCTTCAAACTTATCTTTTTTTATGCAACTTAAAATAACAAACAAGCTGACGGCCCACCTGATGGAAAGTGGTAACCGTCGCCTATAGACATGAGCAGTACCATGGACATAACAGAGTATACTGTGTCGCCCATGATACTCCCCATGCGTTGCCATTCCTGGGGACTCAGGTGTTATTTCTCTGTACCCTGTAAATTCACTGCTTTATCCCACCCTTCAAACCGAAACACAGCGATGAAAATACAACTGCTTAACGGTAGAAACACGAATGGGACAAAGGTGCCCAAGCAAACGAGTTTTTACAAAGTCCCTCTCTGGTTATTCGAAATTGAAATTTAAAAGATAGTAGAGATAGACGCCTCAGAATCAACCCCATGCCTATAACATAGGTAACATTGCTTTCTATTTTAGTTTTATTATATAGGCTTCAGCGTGTTGCCCATTTCTAGTCACATAGAATAAAATATATAATATTGATAATACACATTGGTCCCTCATAAAACAACACACACAATTTTGTCTGTATTTGAAACATAGTCGTAATTATTAAAGGCTACTTATCTAATAGGAAAATAATCGTTTCCGCAGTCCAATCATGTCCAACTCTAAATTGTCAGGCAGATTTCATCAACCGAGAATATTGTTACATCTACCTCGTTCAGATTCTAGTATTCTTTATTCAAATGTTTGCCACCTCAGTGGTATAAAAAAAAAATAGACTCGTTCACAAGCTATTTAAATTGTCATCCTCTATGATTCTATTACTGTGTACGTTATGTTGTTATCTGCTAAGAAGAACCCACAATATACCCAATAGTTATTCTACTGCTTTATTACTACTCTACTATTATATTATTTATCCTTTTAGATCTTATTATATCCTATTCTATTCTAATAATTCTTAATTACATTAATCTCTGACCCTTATTAAAGGGAGACTTTGTACAAAAGTCGTTTGCTTAGGCATCTCTGTCCCATTCGTTTCTACCGTAAAGCAGTTGTTTGCATGACTGTGTTTCGGTTTGAAGGGTGGGATATAGCAGTGAATTTGCAGGGTACAGAGGAATAACACCTGAGTCCTCAGTAATGGCAACACAGCATGGGCGAAACAGTATACACTGTTATGTCCAAGGTACTGCTCATGTCTATAGGCGACGATTACTACGTTCTATCAAGTGGGCCGTCAGTTTGTTTGCCATTCTAAGTTGCATAAAAAAAATATTCCGTCTGTTGGTACGTTGGCAGTCATACGCGTACAAATGTTAGCGGAATTAAACAAAATAATATTAATTAGATAACCCATAGACTTAGTATAACGACTACGTTCAAGTAACCAGTGATATGAACTTCAAAGCAAAATAACACTTAATCCAATAAAATAAATATAATAGTTGTTTCAAATTATTATTTCCAGCCAAAACCTGCAATGCAGAAACGCGATACAATCTACGAGGGTTGCGCAGATACAAAACTATGCTTTGGTGTACCACAGAACTGCATCCCTAAAGGAGATTGCAAGGCCATTGTTGCCATATTCGTAGCAGGAGATGTATACACCTTCGAAATCCAGGGTACAGATAATCCAAAATATATCGCAGCCGGATTAAGTACAGATAACAAAATGGGAGATGACAGTGCAATGGAATGTGTGAGGAATGATAACGGCAGAGTCAGTCTATTCACGTCCTGGACTTACCCGAAGGCCGAGCCCTACGTACGAAGGTCTGATTCTCCTCAAGATATAGTTCAGCTGTTGGAGTCTTCGATTATTGATGGTAAATTGTACTGCAAGTTCAGAAGGGACACCGTATCAGTTGTGAAAGGGCAAACTTTCGATCTCGCAAACAATAAATATAATTTGATGGTCGTATCTGGAGATAGCATGAAAGGTGAGGACTTTATTTTATATTTCTATAACAAATCTATCCACATTTAACCAAGACCTCATTAATGTTTGCAAAACGCGAAGTTTTTGAAGTACCAATGGCTTCTAATAATAAATATGTCCACATTTCCTTCAGGAAAAGGTTCAAATTTCGCGAAATTGATGTTCGGCTGAGATGCAGTAATGACTTAATTATAGATTTGCACGTCTCTGGAATTCACTTCCTAATAACTTAAAGATGGCACAATCATTGAAATTCTTTAAAGCAGGTATCATAAAATTTTATTCTGAAAATCCCTCTTTATTATTATTTTTATTGCTAATGTTCCAGATCCCGATCGCGTGGGATTCCACTCGATAGCTTATGAGTCAACCGGTGAACCGTTGGCTTTGTCCACGGTTGGGTCAGCGGCTGGTGCCTCCAAGTTGTTGCTGAAGCTCCACGGATCCTTCATGTTGGCTGCTTGGTTAGGAACTGCCTCTTTGGGCATCTTGCTTGCCAGGTTAGTACCTGTTTATAATATTTTTATGTGAATCTGAATTTATATGCAACACGTAATAACCTACAGCGACCTCCGTATCCAATATAATAACGCGTTCAGGGTGTTGATGGGGCTGCCACGATTCTGTAGCGCGTCAGAGATTTCGCAGAGCATCGTGTAGATTGTTTTTATGGCACGATGCGGAAAAGTTGCGCATCCTTGGTGCGCAGAGTACGTGCCAGCGCCAACAGCATCCTGAGTATGATGGCAAGCAGGCTTGACTGTGTTAATCACTGCTGCGCAATTTCCAATGGAATTGTACAGCGGTGATTATCTGTACACTATTTTATATATTATATGTGTGTGTGTATTGTGTATGTAATTTTACTAACATTAGTTTTAAGAATATTGTTACTAATAAATATTTAATGGACCAAAAAAGTCCGAAATAAAAATTATTTTTATTATTATTATTATTATAAAAAGTAAATGCTGACTGCTCACAGAATGGAAAGTGGTACTTTCACCTATAGGCATGAACAGTTCCATGGGCATCACACACACTGTGACGCTCATAATGCATTTCAAGTGTTGCCATTCTATATTAATGTATTTTTATTCTTTTTATGAGGTACCAGCAGAAAACCAGTGTTACTTATTTAAATTTAACTCAGCATTAAGCTGCGGAGTACCCTCCGCAGTCCTGAGTTGGTTACCTTTTCATCATAGAAGCACATAAACCACCTAAATTTTTTTTGTTTCGCTTATAAATTCATTAATTATGTGCTCATAATGGTGAATAAATATTTTATCTATGGCAAATCTGAGTCCAATAAATATAATAGAATATCTAGTAGTGTAATAAATATGCACTAGGTAGTCTCATTAATGATTATATTATAATTATTTATTTATTATAGATACTTCAGACAAGTATGGGTCGGCAAACAGCTCGGTGGCAAGGACATCTGGTTTGCTGTAAGTACTACATTTGTTCTGTTTCTATAGACAAAATAAATACCTACCTGGTTATTTTTTTTTATAGATGGAGACGAAATAGTAAATTTTTTAATCGTTTTTTAAATTTAAATTAATTAGATTCAATATAAAAAATTCCATGTGGTCCCGGCATAGAATGGGCTACCCCTTCCTTCTCGTGGATGTCGTAAAAGGCAACTAAGGGTCGAAAATGGACAGCAACGTCCCTCTTAAAATATCACCAAAACCTAACAGCGGTTGTCAACCCGCGCCTGCCAAACGTGGCAGTTACTGGCAAACCCCACCAAGAGACAGGCCTATATTCAGCAGTGGACAGTTAACGGATGATGATGATGATGATGATGATGATAAATACAATAAATATGTTTAAAAGACATTTATTGATGTGATCATTCGAATTTCTATACCAGTACCACAGGATCCTGATGGTGGTGACCTGGTTACTGACAGTATGCGGGTTCATACTGATCCTGGTGGAAGTTGGCGGCTGGTCCACCACTGGCGACAACCCTCACGCTATCACTGGCATAGTTACTGTCGTGTTGTGCTTCATACAACCAATTGGTGAGTTGAAAGTAGTAAATCTATTCCTATAACATTAATTTGTGGTATTCGAAAGTTCCTTATGGTAGTTTATGGGGGAGACCTGTGTCCAGCAGTGAACGGATGATGGCTGAAATGATGATGATAAATATTCGCAAGTTTACAAGATACAGTTTTATTAGAGTAAAATTTTAGTAAGTTCTCAATTATATAATATTTTTATAAATTAATTATGAAAAACTGTTTATAATTACTCCTCTCCATCCAAAGGTTGCCTGAAAGAGATCTCTTTTAGTAAAAGGCCTCCCATTGTTTTTTCAGTGTGACCATTTCTTGTAATTGTTTTTTTTTTATAATATTTTTTATACAATTTAATATGTTTTATACAATTTAGAATGGTAAACAAGCTGACGGCCCACCTGATGGAAAGTGGTAACCGTCGTCTATAGACATGAGCAGTACCATGGACATAACAGAGTATACTGTTTCGCCCATGAGACTTTGTACAAAAGTCGATTGCTTGGGTACCTCTGTCCCATTCGTGTTTCAACCGTAAAGCAGTTGTGTTTGCATGGCTGTGTTTCGGTTTGAAGGGTGGGATATAGCGTGAATTTACAGGATACGGAGGAATAACACCTGAGTCCTCAGGAATGGCACCGCATGGGGGGTATCATGGGCGAAACAGTATACTCTGTTATGTCCATGGTACTGCTCATGTCTATAGGCGACGGTTACCACTTTCCATCAGGTGGGCCGTCAGCTTGTTTGCCATTCTAAGTTGTATAAAAAAAAACAGCCTTTAACTGTCCAAATTGAACATAAGCCTCTCCCTTATGGAGTTTTGCCTGTAGTTGCCAGTCTTGGCAGCCGGATTGACAATCGCAGGTAGGCTTTGCTGATGTTCTAAGAAGGACGCTGCTGCCCATCCCTCGCCCTTTCTTAGTCGTCTTTTATGATACTAACGGGTAAGGAAGAGGTGACCTATTCTATGCCGGGACCACACAGGCATTCACCCTAAGTGTGCTCGTTCCATACTATCTTTTAAACATCCAAATTTCATTATATTAAATTGCTTTTTATTAATTCCAGGTGCGTACTTCAGACCGCATCCTGGTACTAAGAAGAGGCCAATATTCAACTGGCTACATTGGCTTGTCGGCAACGCTGCTCATATACTTGGGAGTAAGTAAACACCTTTAACATTAGAGCCTTTCACTACTTTGTCTCTTTTTTAACCGACTTCAAAAAGAAGGAGATTCTCAATTCGGTTGTATTTTTTTATGATTTGTTTATTGATTGTTTCATATTTTATTTTCGGATTTATAATTTTTTTTTTTTTATTATCTGAAAGAATATACTTACAGATTGGTCTTATAATAATTTTATCAAAATCAATTCAGTGGTTTAATTTTTAAACCAAAATAACAGATTTTGTCTCTATTGAGGTAGTTTTTTTTTTTTTTTTTGTTGGAACCAATCTTTAATGATTAATGTGTTGATTTGCAGCCAGTAATATATTTATTTTCTCATTTCTAATTAATTTTAATTTTTATTATTTTTGCCAATTTTTAATTAAATTTTAATTTAATTAAAATTTGGAAATTACCATAGATTTTTATCTGTTGAAAAAAAAAACCGAAATAAAAATGAAGAAAAAAAATGATAAGAATATTTATTTCGTAACAAAATTGATACAATACTAAGATCGTTGTTGTGACCTTCTAGTAAGTGTTATCACCTGCATCAGAAGGTCACGCTCCTCCATAACCATGCAAATACAAATCATAGTACCATAAAATTAAGACATTAACATTATCTAGTGTTAATAATAAGTATGTCTAAATGCATGCTCACGTGTATGTTTACCTCTTACCTCTATTTATAATAGAAATACAAGAAAAATAGAATAGTGATGACATCCATATCATAATATTAATGAATAGAATAGAATAGAAACATTTATTGCCAGTAAACTTACAATATAAAATATAAATAACATATACAAAAAGTGTCCCACAAAGTTAATGTTTTACCGACTAAATAGTTTCATAATCAAGTTTATGTACTTCATCTTTGAAGCATTCGTATCGGGTCTTTTATTTAGTTTTTTTTTTAAAGAATGACAATGGAATTGTAACCCCGCCTACGCTAACAGTATACACTGGCGGGTCACCAGTAAAGGATGACAGATGATGAATAAGCCTGGAATTCAGCACGATGGTTTTCAAGGGGGACCACGTGAAATTCGCATTACTAACAACAAAGTATCCAGACTCGAGCGGGGGGAGGGGATTGTTAATAATGGGGAGATTAGTACCCATTGCTATCAATATGTCCAATCAGGTCGACCTCCACGCGGTCCCCTCTGGAAATAATCGTGACTAATTTATCGTTGACTTCGTCACGATGGGCTAACTGACCAGGTTTTTCATCCTTACTCATCCTTTTTCATCCTCATTGGTCCGCCGCCAGTGTGTACCGATAGCACAGACGGGGTTACCATTTCATTATCATCCATTAAAAGCTCAGGGTCGAACCATGTTAGAAAAGGTCATTTCTTAATTTAACCAGACTGTGAATCAAACGGGGACTTCATTAATGCAAAACAGCTTGCTTACCACTATGCTACAGAGGTCATTTTATATATTTTTTCAGTCGCAACAATATTCCTGGCAGTGTATCTTCAAAAAGCGGAATTACCTTCGTGGAGCGTCTACATACTGGCCGCTTTCGTCGCATTCCACGTTATCATGCATTTCGTTTTATCGGTGAGTTTTTTTTTTTATTTGGGCACAGATAAGGGTCGACTAACCCTTTACAACTATTAAAAGTACCTATCCAAATAGTCGGAATTCATTAACATTTATGAAAAAAATCCAACAAAATTTACCCAAGTTCACCTAATTGTGATATATTGTAATTAATTCTTTAAAATTGACATACATTTGTTAAATTAATTACATAAATGATATTTTTTTATGCAATTTGACCTGGCCGTGTAGGTCCTGGCATAGAATAGGCCACCCTTTCCTTTCCCGTGGGTGTTGTAAGTGGCAACTAAGGGAGGGCGAGAGATGGGCAGCAGCGTCCCTCTTAAAACATCTCTAAAGCCTAACTACGGTTGCCAATCCGCCTGCCAAGCATGTCAACTATTGGCAAAACTCCCCAAGGGAGGCCTATGTTCAGCAGTGGACAGTTACAGCTAATATGAAGATGATGAAGGCAATTTGAATTTGTGGGTATAATGATGGTCACATTCAATTTGACCTTCTATTGTTCAGCTGATCGTGTGCGTCTCCGAAGGTCGTATTAGCAACGGTCGAGTGAACACATTCCCAATGAAGGACATGCTGGGCTCGCGCCAAGCGTCTCAGGTCGACAGGAATACAGATGCACCGGTAAGGAACCACTATATATATGTATTTATGTAAGTTTATTTTCAGAAAGCCATAGCTTATAGCGTACCCAACGACACATGCGTATTTACGTATGGCGACAAACAAACCACCAGAGAGGGGTGTTGGCCCCGGACTGGTTTCCCCATTCCCCCGCCAGGGAATGTGCGAAGGCAAAGGAAGTTTATTTTTATTTATTTAGATATGTATTAATGTTATAGGATAACTGTAATAGAGAGGCACTATAAAATCTATGTCACATCAGTTGGGAAGGTACCAAATGACATAAACGCTCAGAAATTAAAAGCATAAGAATAATAAGACAGCCAGATAAATAGAAAAAAGCATTAGACAAAATTAAGGAACAATAACCACGCTAAAAAGAGATAATGAAGGATTAAAGAAAAATATAAGAATGGTATGAAAGAAGGAAGGATGGAATGAAAATAAAGGGAAATAATGCCTGACAAACTATACAAGTAGCAAGACTTTCGGAATTGTTCAATATGATGCCCACGGCCACTTGCATCGTTCGGCTCGCTATCGACAGGGAGTTCATCCTCATACCCTACAGCCTAAATGGTCGCGTACAACGCGGTTTCAGAGATGTTTTCTCCCACGAACACTCAGGTTATGGAATGAACTCCCTGCCGAGGTTTTCCCAAGAGACTACAGCATGGAGTTCTTCAAAAGGGGGGTAAAGAGTTGGCAGGGTCGGCAACGCGCGTATACCTCTGATATTGCAGGTGTTCATAGTCTACGGTAACCACTTACTATCAGGTGGGCCGTATGCTTGTTTGCCACCTCAGTGGTATAAAAAAAGCCTGGAATTTAATATCCGGGAACGTACAAAAAAAAATTGCATTTTCATATATGTCACTAATTACAATATATTTTGTCCACAGTTCTCCAGTTTCAGGAAGCTACTACTTGGAATATACGCTCCAATCATTATACTATTCGCCGTGGCCATGATTTGTCTCGTCGCGTTAGCTCCCATAGCAGAGACTTACACCACTTTGATGGGAGCATAATATAAGGTTTCTTAATTACGACCAAATGAATTTAAATGTATGAGGGCATCTTGACACAGTGTTTCTCAAACCTATGATGATAAAGTGACCTTGAGGTGTTTTATTTATTAATTTATAGGATCACCAACATAACCCTTTCAGATCTGAACGATACGGGCGTGAGTTGAACTTAAAAAAAAAATCTAAAACAGCGCGCAATTCATTTTTACGCACGAAGCTGAAATAACATGATAGTGAGATTCTAAACCAGCCAATAAGAAATCATTTTATCGGTTAGGTGGTGCAGTAGTCTCGTGCGTGCCGGCAAGATGGCTTGGCTCCAAAACACGAAAATATATTTAATCTGAAAGAAAAAAAAACTTGGGTCTGAAAGGGATAAGACATTAAACATTTCAATACAATAAATACACTGGCAGATTATATCTAACTGTTCTTACATTTATGGGCAACCACAGCATGCTTTGTGTTTGATAAACATTAAAATGGAATTAAATTATTAAATGTCATTAAATAAATAAAGATATTAACAATATGAATAATACGAACAACATCTCAGACGGTTGGGATTCCGAGGCGGCTCACTCCCGGGAAAGATGCAGAAAGCGGTGCTCTTAGATTCTGCTCGCATTGTACGCCGGTTTTTCTCCCTGAGGCCCTGAACCCGGGCCGACTGTGCTTCTGCCGGGGGTTAGTTGCCATCTCCTCTCCTTAAGAGGGGAGACGAGAATTTGAATAAAAATTGAATAATAATATAATTCATATTGAATTTTAAAATATGCAACCACTTCTTTATTGTACTTAATATTTGTGTTATGATATTGACGTTATGCATTTTGGAGCAAGGAGTTCTAGGGGATCTCAAAAAGGTCAAGACTTAAAACACTGTCAGAGTATTATGCAGTAAGTGCATTCACAATAGGATTACTCAATTAGTAAACTTTGGATAAAATATCAAAATCCTCTCAATCTAAAGGTTAAGAGTTGAAAAGCTGGAAGAGATCCCTTTTAGCGATGAGGCCGTCCACTGTTTTCTCGCTGTGTAAACTAAAATAACTTTTTGTAATTGTTTGCATCTATAATAGAAAGAAAAAAAAATTATTGCCAACAACAAAAAGAGTTACACTTATTAACAATAGAAAACAATATTAGGAAGTTTACTATTGTAATATTTTAGAGCATACAATAAAGAGATATAATAGATATATCTATCTATTATAATTCTATGCATATTTTTATACTACCATATTTTATAAGAGCACATTCTGGAAGTCACGTGACTTTTAAATTCAAACTTTGAGAAACACTGCAAAAGGTATCAAACCAATGACATTATTATAAATATTTAAGCGCAAAAATGAATATGATATGTACCTACTTATTTGTAAACATTTTGTATATGTTGAAATTTTAAATTAGAATCTTCATAAGAAAGTAGGAAAGTGAATGGAAATTTATATGTAATTTAATTTCAAGGATTTTTATATAACACACTTTTATGAAGGATTTTCTAATATAATTTTATAGGTAGTCTAACTTATAATAATTATTTGTAAATATACTATAAATACTTATATTTAGAGTTTAATTTTGAGAATTTTAACCAAATCATTTCTACCTACTTACAGTAAATTAGGTCATAGTTTTTATACAGTAATTTTTACAATCAAGAAAAGGAGCAAGATTTTATCTTTTTTAATTCCCTATAAACATACTAAAATATTATGAATCATGTAGAGATAAATGTGTATAAAAAACCATTATGAATAATAAATAAGTAAATAGTAAAAAAAGGAATTATTTGGCAGAAATGGAGCATTGCATGTCACATAATTGTAGTGCATTTGATATTTCAATTTTGATCCTTCACGTGGAATAAAATAGGCACTAAGAAATAAGTATTATTATTTTATTCCTCTAATTTATTTTTATATAAAAAAAGCATTAAAACAAAAATAACTAAGGCACATTCATGTATAACAGTTTACATTACTGGTTTGAAATACCAAAATTTTATATAAATAAACTATATGTAACAAATCCGTCCTATAAAAGATTTTTAAAAATAATTATAATGCAGAAATGTCTATTAGTAATATTAAATATATTTTATTGTAAATATAGTCTTAATGAATGTTTAAAAATAAACAAAAATATAAAAACAAAGGGTTTTTTATTACAAATATTTTTTTTTATATCCACTTACAATAATAGTAATGCACATCTTAATATCAACTATCATCTTTAGGTATCTGTGAGTCTTCAACTGTTTTTGAGGATGGTATGTACACTTTAAATGAATATTCAGTACGGGGAAATGAACCAGGATTGACAACTTGGCAGTCTTGGTACGATCTAGTATAAGGTTGGAAGTGATCAGCCACCACAACTAAATCAGGCATCGGATAAAGACTCAATGCATCTGCGTGTTGCCAGTAAATTGGCTGCACTCCCAACGTTAATGGAGATAGTGTACACTGACTTAACAATGTCTTAGTTAAATGGTCAGGTATATCTCCTGATTCCGGAAAATGTATAGAGTTTCTACACATTTTTGTGACCAAATCCTGTCTTAAAATTACCAGTTCTTGAGTACAATATTGTATGCGACACGGGTTCGTTGTGAATATAACAGAGTCACCCAATCTCTCTCTTATTTCTTTTGTAACAGAATTTGGAATTGGTGGTCTTGGAAGTATATTTGCTGCAGCAGGGTCCCCTTTTCCAGGGACAAAAATAAATTTGCAAGATTCTCTCAATTTTGTGTATTGATACAAAATGTCTCCTAAATTAGTTAATGCAGCTTTAAGCTGTATACTATGTTCAAAGCCATATGGGCATGATAAGAATTCACCCATAAATATAATAGCAATTGGTGGAAAGTCATTATAACCAGAAAATAAGGTTTGTAACTTTGAAATAACTTTCAGATTGTCCAACCAAACATCAGACAAAAATATCAACATTCCATCCTCATTTTCCTGTTCTAACTTTAAAAGATTTTTGGAGTTCTTAAGTAAGCTCTTAGATTTGCCACCAAAAGTATTCAAATTACCAAAATAAGGTAGTGATGTTGCTCTGCATTCTGACGGAGGCAGCACAAGGCCCATAACATGCAAGACTTTGTCATCATAGTAACCCTCGGCTAAAACAAAGCTATTCTCAGTAAATAAACCAGAATGGTATCTTGTCTGAGTCATATCCAATAGCACACTGCCAGTAGGGTCTTCTAAATGGTATTTTCCTTCTGTCAACTGAGTTAACAATCCCAATACAATTACATCATTAACTTTACTAGAAGAACTAAGTAATACCTCTATTTTACGCAACTGAAACCGTTTTTCTTCGGCCATACTGGGTAGTGCTTCTAGCGCGAATAATTTATTTCGCACTGTCCGCTGCCATATAATCATATACCTATCAATCAAATACTGAGCCTTCCATTTGGGTTCTGGAAACAAATTATTACTAGTATGCACATCTTTAACAAACTTTTTCCTCTCGTTATCATAATTCAACTTTGGTATACTGAATGCATCAATTACATTTAACACAGTCTCTGTTTCTTCGAGTCCATGGGAAGTACATTCTTTATATGCAATCTCTATATGTTCTTTCTCCAATACTGGTTGTGAAAGGCACTGCCGTAATAAATGAGCAGTTAGTTTTTCCAACATCTTTTGTCGCTCTTGGATTGATAAAGAACAAAGTTGTTCAGCGACGAATGTGCTCGCCTCTCGTCGTATTGTAAAACCACTAAGTTTGAAGGCATTGTTGACTTCAGCACGAATATTTTGTAGATCAGTCATGGTGAAAGTATAATTTTAATCACATATATTATTATATAACATTATAAATTTAAAAAAATTAGAATATATAAAAAAAAAAAACTTGAAGACCAGATACATTGTAAAAGAAAGACCGCCAAAACAAACACGGATATTATATTTTCAAAGTCAATGTCAATTTCAGATTGTCAGTCATATTAACTTATTGTCAGTCCAATTATCAAAGGCAATAGCTAAGAACAAGGAGTTACATGAAATGATAAAATGAAAACAGTAAATTATATGGTTGCCTCCTTCATTCTTATGCAAATATAATTAGTAAAAAGAGGACAAAAAATATACCATCAGTTGCTACTTTTGTTAATTGATAGCAGGTTAGTGTATAGAAAATGTTTTATCAGATAGACTAGGAATAGATAAATCGACTCTCGTCATGTAAAAAGCTACTTATTGACATAGATTAAGAATAAATGTAAAATAAAATTGCTGTCAATAATAAAAAATGTCAATCTGTCAATCAATTGTCATTCATAAAGTATCGTTTTTGGTGGGTCGGTCATTTATTAAACTGTATTTTATTTACATAAATAAAGAAAACTAGTAAACTATTTTCAAACTTAAAAATAATTTCATGAATTATATTAAATTGTTGTCTGTCAGTTTGTTGTTATATCGGCCAATAACAGTAAGTATAATATGTAATGTAACGCCCGAAATATTCATTTGGTGTATTATACAATATTTTACCTGCTTTCTTGCATACATTGTTTTCAATTTAACGTATTACTACGTTTAACACATCATAATGATTCATTCGTATTACGGTTTTTTTTATATAATGGTGTTAATTTTGCAGGCTAAAACGTCGGTCATGGATGTTTTAAGACCTTTTCAGAATCTTTCATGGTATGTAGTATTCATAATGTTAATAATATTACAAGTAAAGCTTATGAGATGTCGGCTTTAATTTTAATACATATTAAATTTTGTATATTCACTTATTAGAAATCATTTAGAATGCGCATTTGGATGGAACTCATTACATTCTAAATATAAGGATGGACTATATACATGGAAATTTTATTTTCATAGATCAAGATATAAGTTTAGGGTTAATGTACCCCAGTTAATGATTAGAATTCCACTAGGAGCACAAAAACCTAATATTTTTATATAAAATTATTACTAATATCAGTAATATCCTGGGATATTATTAATATTAGTTGGTTTGCCATCTTTGCTTAGGAATATTTGATTTAAATATCTTGTATTGAGTGTACCCTCAAAATCCGTTTTTTCCATTCTAATTTGTAACTAATTATTTTAAAAATGGTTTCTTAGTCAGAGCCCCCTGAAATATGCATAACAATAATTGCCATATTGACTTATTAGTTGTAATCTTGGTATTTATATTTTATCTGTTAAAATAGTTGCTTAATTTCATTATGATCTGGTTTTCCTGACTTTAATATGTTTTCTGTAATTTCAATAGTTTTTTTTATATGTTTCTATGTACTATCTGTGTAAATTTTATTGGCTAATATAACATTTAATTGTGCAGTGTTTTTGTGTTAAGTGTTTTTAAAGTTATATGTTTGCCATAATAAATTAATAATTACATAGTTTTTTAAAAGAATTAAAAAGCTCTACATTAATTTATCCAAAGTATATATAAATATTGTTAGTAATGAAAAGATTAATTCCTATTTCTAGTTATATACTTGTGCTCCCCCCCTGTAAACTGTTGTGATTAAGTCCTAGAGTCCATTCTTATTGATTCATCCTTCAATGAAACTCTATCATTATAAACCCTAAGTCCTAGGCAGGTGCAACATTCTATCATTATCTATTAAAAATACTTTTTATTTTTTTTTTTCTATTTGCATATCTCTATTTGGATATAAATTTATACAGCTATAATTTTTCAGGTGCAAACCAGACTGGTGCTTCCCTAGTATGAGTAAGGAGACAAATGAATTGTTAAGACAGTGCATAGATCTGCCTAAACCTGAGTTAAGTGACAATGTTGAAGAAATCATCGAGAAAAGCAAGGAATTTCCCATACCATTCCCCATTGAAACTATCAGGTAAAAAATAACAAATTACTTTTTTACAGCATTGTTAAATATATCAAATTATATAATATATATATGTGTGTGTGTGTGTGTGTGTGGAGTTTTGAACTATACGCAAAGACATATTGCACAAAGTTATGTGCCTTTTTTAACGGGTTAGACTCACCCCCTGGACAACGAACTTAATTATGCCATCCAAAGGTTGCTTGAAAGAGATCGCTTTTATCGATAAGGTCACCCATTGTTTTCTCATTGTGATTATTTATTGTAATTATTTATAATAAGTTTACTATTGTAATATTTTTGGAGGAAACAATAAAGAGTATCTATCTATATATGCCAATGGTTTCTTTATGCAAACTTTTTTGATAGTTTATTTATTTATTTTTGTTTTCTTTCCTGTGCAATCAGTTAGAGAATTATTTTTTTTAGATTACAGAAACTCAAAACAAAGAGGCCACTAGATAATTTGAAGAGGAACATAGTGTCCACATACCCAGTAATACATGAGAGGGTGCTTCTGCTTATAACACATTTCCTTATTTACAAAAGGTATGTTTGTTATATTTTATTTTTACACTACTGTGGTGGCAAATAAGCATATGACTCCACTGATGGTAATAGTTTTTCCATAGCCTATGGATGCCTGTAATACCAGGTATGTTACATGCATGTTGTCAATAAAAAATCTTATTACACTCTTTTTGAAGAATCCCATACTGTAGATGTTAGTTGTATAAGTGTAACTATTTCTGATGAAGTATGAAAATAATGTTCCCCTACTCCTTTTTAACCAACTTCAGAAAAAGGAGGAGCTTTCAATTTAGTTGTATTTTTTTTTGTGTGTTACTGCAGAACTCTATTACTCATAAACTGATTTGGAAACTTCTTTCACATCATGCTCAGGCCTGCAGTTAGCCTTTATGTTTGTCTGGCCAGGGACTACAATAGTACGACTATTGTAGTCCCTGGCCAGACTGATTGGCTACTCAAGAAATATGTATCTTGTAATTGTTATCTAAATACAAAAAATCAGCTTTTATAGCATAATATACACACATAGACATAACAGAGTATACTGTTTCGCCCATGATACCCCCCATGCGTTGCCATTTCTGAGGACTCAGGTGTTTTTCCTCTGTACCTTGTAAATTCACTGCTATATCCCACCCTTCAAACCGAAACACAGCAATGCAAACAACTGCTTCACGATAGACACACGAATGAGACAGAGGTACTCAAGCAAACGACTTTTGTGCAGTCTTCCTCTGGTATTTTTTATTTTTTGTTTAATTTTTAATTTTTTTTGTTTCAGAGAATTTGGCACTAGTATAGAGAAAGCATTTTACAAAGATGTGACAGTACCAATGTTCATTGATAGGATATTAAAAAAGCGTGCAGTCGTGTTTATGGGGGAGGATGACCATTACAAGCTACTCAGTGGTGAGACCGCGTAAGTGACATTTAAACACATAGTTAACTATTACATTACTAGCTTTTGATGTCTTTTGAGTCACTGTTTAAGAGGGACACTGCTGCTCATCTTTGGACCATTAAGTCCACTCTTACGACATGGGGAAGGAAGATTGGGTAAAAATGGGTGGCTGATTATAGTTATGTCGGGACGACACGGCGGTTATTTAGTACATTTATACCAAATTTCGTAGTCATTGGTGAAACTGTTAATTCGCTATAAGGTAACAAACAAGATTTATTATTATTAATATATAAATTCCACAACACATAGTACTTAGCGCCATCTAATTTGAAACCAAACAGCTCGAGAGTTTATGCATTATTAAATAAACTTACAGTCAAACATTTATATTAATTTGTATTAATAATGGTGTTTATGTATGTATAATATGTATAAACATATTTACCAAAAAATGTATTTATGTGTATAGTTAGTTCTCATTAGACAAACTCTGCTTAGTTGGGATATAAATGAGCTGCCCAATATATCCTGTTCTATTTATTTGTTTACTAGCTGTGTCCTATGGTTTCACCCGTGTGAATCACATAAAGTATCCAATGTGTTAAATTAGGGTATAACCTACCCGTGTATCAAATTTTATTCAAATCTGTTTAGTAGTTTTTGCGTGAAAGAGCAATAAACATTCATCCATCATCCTTACACACTTTCGTATTTATTATATTAATAAAATTATTTTTATCATCCTACTATTGTAATTCTAATCCTATTATTGTAATTGACTCATTATTAATATAATAAGTTGAAGAATAAATAAACTATAAAAAAGTCGAAAATAAAAAGAAAAATAAAAGTTCCTGCATCTATTAGAGGTATGTTTAATTATAAACTTTCAATAAATCCTCAGTTCCGAAGGATGGGAAGCGGTCGGCACTCTTCATCAGAAACCGCCGCTTGTGTTGGAGAACTGCCTCAGTTATGATGAGATGAAACTGTCCGCCATGGTGTTTGTGAGTGGGCATACGGAGTGCATCAACAATGGTGCACGGCATAATGTTGGGATGGAGGTGGGAGAGGATGCAGAGGACAACGCCGTTATCATTGGTATTACTTTTACTCATTTGTGTCTTTTCGTTTAATAATTATAATGACCGTGTGGTCCCGGCATAGAATAGGCCACTCCTTCCATTCCCGTGGGTGTCGTAAAAGCCGACTAACGGAAGGCGAGGGATGGGTAGCAGCGTCCCTCTCAAAACATTTCTGAAGCCTGACTTCGGTTGTCAATCCGCCTGCCAAGTGTGGCAACTACTGGTAAAACCCCCCCAAGGGGGAGGCTTATGTTCAGCAGTGGACAGTTAAAGGCTGATATAATGATGATTTTTCAGTTATTAGTCCTCTTATTGCTTTATAAAAAAAAAATAAGTTTTTTAGAATTTCGTACCTTGAAAGAAAAAAATGAAACGCTTGTACGTCACTCATTCTATCACGTCTCTGTCTAACTGTCCATTTGTCACAACCAGTTTATTACGAAACTATTGGATCGATTGAGTTGAAATTTGGTACACATTTGTATGTGGGTAATTCAAAGATGGACATGTAATGAATATATCAATAAAAAGTAACAAATCAACATGCCTTTTTCTCAAACATGCTTGGAAATGTGAGCATTATTTTGACAATCTTCTTCGAGATAAATCAAAATTGCCGTACTGGCCAGATACATGTGGGCAGCGGCCGGAAATAGTTGCATGAAAATCCATATCTGTCGTGTTTTGCGGCCAGATAAATTATTATGTAAACTCATATCTGTCCTGTAATTTAAAAATGGTGGACAGGACAGGAGGAGATAACTAATAAAAGGTTTTATTTAAATTTCGAACTGGCTTGCAAATAGAAAGCTGTTTATTGAAAAAAAAAACAAAGGAACATTATGGCACGTAAAAAATTATTACTGTTCATTGAACTTAAAAGTCAAATTGTGTTTTTGATTTCCGTGCATTGTTTGAGAAAAGTACTATACTATACGTATCTTTTGTAACTGGATCTCCTTATTTACAATATGCGTTAAGATAGTTTTCTCGGAAGTACTTTCGTAGGCTAGGCTCTGCTTACATTGCAAGCGAAAAAGGCCTCGAGTGCAAAGTTACCTGTCTTTTTTTAATAAATGATAAAAAAATACTAGCCCCGCCTGCGCTATCGATGTTCGCTGGCAGGTCACCAGTGAGAGACGAGTGAAGATGAAAGCAGATCAGTTGACCAATCATAACGGATTCCACAAGAATTACTACAATGATTCCCAAGGAAAACCATGTAGAGGTCAACTAGCTCTGTAGTTGTTAGAAGGCGTTGGAGATATGTCTGAATGTATGAGGCTATTAGATCCCCATTACTTATAATTTTTCCCCCCAACATTGCTTTTTGGGTAACAGCCCCAACAGGGGGAAAGAGATTGTCAGTAATGGGGTCTAACAACTCCACTGTTAGCAATTAAACCCTTATCAGGTCGTCCTCCATACAGTTCTCCCTGGTAACTATTGTGGTTAATTCTTGTGGAATTCATCACAAAATCACAATGGGTCAACTGACGTGCTTTCATCGTCACCTATCATCCTTCACTGGTGACCCGCCAGTGTATACTATAACGCAGGGGTTATCATTTCATTTACTCCACAGTATCTACGAAGTTTTAAAGCAAAAATTAAGTACTTATATCTGAGCATGCATATCTTTATATGTATAAAAAACACAAACAGAATTCCGTGCCTCTACTCAGACTATTTATAATTACTCTTCTCCATTCAAAAGTTTCTTAGAAGAGATCGTTTTTAGCGATAAAGCCGCCCATTGTTTTCTTAGTGTAATATTTTCCTGTAATTGTTTATATTTATAATAAGTTTTTTATTGTAATCTTATGGAGGAAACAATAAAGGGTATCTATTTATTTACCTATCTATCCCCTCAAAAAAAAAATAAACAAAAAATTGAAAAGAAACTGTCAACAAACTTCCAGGTATTATCGGCACTCGTTTCGAAAGAAGAGCTCGAATGGATTGTGAAGACATTTTAATCACCGAACAACAGAACACGTGGGAGAACGGGTACGGCGAAGAAGTGACGCCCACTACATGTTTTAATGTGCTGAAAACGACGTATGTTAGGAACAACCAATCGGCCAAACATATGTGGAGGCAGATATGGTCCGAGTTTTATCAGGTAATCTTTTTTTTTTTATTCATGTTCTGTTCTGAGGATGTGTCAGAATGGACACCTGTTGCTGAATTTCATCATCCTACAACCCATCACTAACTGTGAGGTTTCAAGACACTATATAATTATATCAAATTGTGTTCCACATAAAAAAACTTTTTTTTTTTTTTTTCTTTTTTTTTTTTTTTTATATACAACTTAGAATGGCAAACAAGCTGACGGCCCACTTGAAAGTGGTAACCGTCGCCTATAGATATGAGCAGTACCATGGACATAACAGAATATACTGTTTCGCCCATGATATCCCCCATGCGTTGCCATTCCTTAGGACTTAGATGTTATTCCTCTGTACCCTGTAAATTCACTGCTATATCCTACCCTTCAAACCGAAACACAGTTATGCAAATACATTTTAATATTTAGGAATGAGCAGGTCTGTTTTTATTTACCGTAAGTATCTCATTGAGTTTCAAGTAAACTATAATAATAATATAAGCCTTTATTAAATAAGTAACGAAATAAACAATACAATAAAATCAGTAACTGTTTTGTCATCCTCTTTCTTGTTCGAAGGCAAAGGTCTCCTCCAGTCTTCCATTTTATTCTCCCTGTCTCCTTTGGCCTGTTCTAAGGTACCAATCTGTTACGATTGCTGTCCACTTTTGTGTTTTTTCTCGCATAATGTGTCCTGCCCATCTCCATTTTTATTTCTTTTATTGTATAGATAATATTCTTGTATTCAAGTGGTTCATAGGGTTGTATAAATATGTTTTTCAGGTACACAGTTACACATATGAGGAACTAACCTCCTATGTTAATATAGAAGATAAAAGTGAAGACAAAAGGTATATAGATAGATATATAAAGTGTCCCGGCACAGATAATATATTCGACAATGAGGTGTACTACAAGCGGCTCAGTGTATTGGTTGAAACGACGTTACTAGAGGCGGACTACAGAGCGAAAGAAGCTGGCAAGGATGCGTTCGTGAACATCATCGGAGCTGGTGAGTGATTTGTTACTTAGCTATGGGTAACTATATATTAACATTAGCAATATCTATATATTTTAGTTACTGGTCCAATAACGAATATGATATATATGAACATAAAAATCCGTGATTAAAAAAATAATATAAAATAACAGATTTATATCATATTGTGGAAAATGATAATGGTCACTTATATATTATATATGAATAACACCACGGATATCATAGAATGCACTGTGATGCCCATGGCATCCCTTAAAAGACTTACCTTACTTCTAAAGGATCCAGATTTTTTTTAATAGATCATAATGAAATGGTAACCCCGCTTGTGCTATCGCTATATACTGGCGGGCACCAGTGATAGATGACAGGTGAGGATGAAGGCAGGTTAGTTGGCCCATTGTTTTTTTCATCGAAGAATTCAACAAGAATTAACCAACGATGGTTTCCAGGAGAACCGCGTGGAGGTGACTTGATAGCCCCATAGCTACCAATATACCCTATATTGGTAGCTATGGGGCTGTTTAAACCCATTACTAACAATTCCTTTCCCCCCCTATCTTCTGTGTTAAGTGAGGGGACTTGATAAAAGTAAAGTTACTTATTATAATATTATTACTTTCTATATTCCGTCAATTCTCTTAATCTAAGGTCTTTTGAGGCCCTCCAGGTGAAGACGCCAGTACATTTTTCAAATTTTTCGCCAATAATCAGTTTATTAATCCTTTAGAGAAAACAATAAAGAGGATCTATCAAGAATAAAGAGTATTTTCTATTATTATTTTAGGTCTCGGCGTCTGGAAGGTGTCAGTCCACCAGCCCGACGTGTACATCCTTACGTTCCTGGAACGGATACGTTCCCTCCTAAAGAAGGACATGTTGAACCACGTATCCGACGTTAACTTCGCGTATATCCGTCCCACTAATGGGGTCCTTGCGCTGTTCACGTCAGACACGGATACGGAGAAACGGATATTCCTCGAGTGCAAACGACATCCGCGGGGCGGGATCAACGTACAGTTGGAGAATAGGGAACCGTCTTCGAAGCTGACTGGGGAACACGAGGGGAAGTTACTTGTGATGACGTATCCGTGGGATGGGAATGCGCATCCTGGGAATGAGTTCTGGTATGTGAAATAATAATAATAATTTTTATTTATTTATCTCACAATTTTTGAATACATACATACATACATACATATCTGTCACGCCTGTCTCCCATTAGGGTAGGCAGAAACAATGGAACGCCAAATGCTTCCAATCAAACAAACCTCTTTCGCTTCTTCCACATTCATCAATCTTGTCATACACGCTATTTTGTATATATGTGTCATATGTGTATGTCATACCGATATTTTTGAATACAATGCAACATATAAAATAATACCATAGATACATCGAAGTTGTGGAGAACTGGTGTCTGAAGTGGGTACCCAAAGAACCTGTATCACAATACCAAAGGGAGATTTTTGTACAAAAGTTGTTTGCTTGGCACCTCTGCCCCATTTGTGTTTCTACTATGAAGCAGTTGTATTTGCATGGCTGTTTCGGTTTAAAAGGTAAGATATGGCAGTGAATTTACAGGGAACAGAGGAATAACTCATTCAATAACACCTGAATCCTCAGTAATGGCAAGTATGGGGGTATCATGGCTATAAAGAGGGTTATATTCAGAGTCTCACTGCGTGATAGTATTTAGACGGTGAAAATCCATTGAAGAATCTCATCTAGAATCATAATCTAGAGAATCTCCAAGTTAAATATGCAATGAGCCAACCATATAGGTCAAGGAATTGATACCTAATAAGGTAGAAAGATACTCTTCCTGTTAGGCTTATTTCAGTCGCCCTGTCACAAACTACCAAATAACAAGTACAAACTTGTCACAAACTAACAAATACCAATAATTTTTTGCACAGGTTGGGAAGCTTGGACGGGTCTGGAGACCCAGCCGCGGCCTGTTCCACCCAAGTGGCCGAGTTACACAACGCCCACATCAACCCGTCCGTCAGCGCTGCTAACGTCCGCGTGGCTGGCCGACTCGGTCTACGCACACTGGCTGAGTACTGCCACGAACTCAGCACGTAAGGCTCGCTGTATTCGCTGCTATATACAATTATATACTAGAATTAAAACGTGTCACGGAAAGGTTACACACGCTGAAATCTGAGACAACAAAGTACTTATTGGTAACTCTCTTGAAAGTTTAAAATAAATTATGTTATAAATGCATACTAACATTATAAACTAAGTATTAGACCTAACTTCATCCGCATGGCAGCGATATTTTGATTGACTAGGGCAAAATAACCTATGTCCTTCGTCCTACGTCCCAATCATATGAAATTACGGCTTTACCACTAAATCGATCATGTGACTGTAAAATGTTTGTTTATGGATTTCGGATTGTTATACCATTTTCGTTGACAGTTTATATACAACTGCATACCTACTACAATTAAATATCAAACAAAGCTAAAATTTGTCGGAGTACATTGCAGCAAGATTTATAAACAAAGAATGAAATTGAGTAATAATTTTGTACGTCCGAAATCGCAGCGTGTCTATCAGCGCCATCTAGCGTGCGACACAGCAACTCAGTAGTTTGTCGTCAACGATAGATGTCGTTAAAAACGATTCGCTTGCGACATATATTTAGAGCAATAGGGTGTGCTTGTTAATTACATAGAAATCATTAAAATACCACCGGTGAAATTAATGAAGACTTTTTCAAAGAAAAAAGACAAAAAATTTAAACACATAAGTTAATGATTTCGATTGTAAATATTGATAATGACACAAAATATAACATCTGTACTACTAGATTAGCTTTTTCAAGATAAAGTATTTAAATTTAATATACAAGTAAATTGTTCGCGTGTATGGTGAAATCAAAAAGTATGAAGTAGCAAAAAATACTGGACTATGTAGGTTTTGAAAATCTTGAATTTTCTAGTTCTTTTATTTATACATTGTTTTACGCCCCTCAATAAAATGAATGTTTTAAATATAAAACAATTACAGTATGTATATATACCCTAAATGTATAAACAAGTTTAAATGAATTATATACATATTTATGTTATACATTATTACTTATTTGATGTAGACAAATACGGAGGATTGTATCTAGCAAGTTAATCATAATACATAAATGCGATTGTAATAGCAATACTTGTAAATTATCAATTCTGCCCCCGTAGACAAGTGTTGCCACTTGTCTATTATATAACGTGTCTATTGGTAGACACGTTATCGCTACTGCATGCATGAAGCCAGACAGCGACTGTTTTATTTAGGAAAATCCCCGGCTACGCTATCAGTATACATTAGCGGGGTACCAATGAAGAGTGATAGGGGAAGACGAAGTCAGTTCAGTCGACTTACCGTGACATATTGACCCGGCAAAACATATCGTTCTTAATAAAATACTGACTTGAAATGGTAAAATGGGGTTTGGTGAATGAAAACATACCTTCTCAATAGACAATTATTATGTTCTAAGCATAAATAATAATAAATACCATTAAACGCGCGTTATCAAACTCTTAAGAGAGATTTTGCCTCACTCTGCGTGTTTTACCGCTTGTACAACGGACTGTGTTCAGAGGAATTGTTCAATATGATGCCCACGGCCACCTTCTACCATCGTACAGCTCGCCGTCGACACAGAGTTCACCCTCATACCTTAGAGACTAGATGATCGCATACAGCGCGATTTGAAAGAAAGAAATGTTTCCTCCCACGAACGCTCAAGTTATGCAGTGAGCTCCCTGTCGACTTTTTTCCAAGAGATTGCAGCATGGGATTATTTACAATAGCGATAAAGGGAATTCTATAGGGTCGGTTCAGGTCAACGCACGCGTAATGCCCCTGATATTGCAGGCGTTAATAGAGTTCGGTAACCGCTTACTGTCAGGTGGGCCGTATGCTTGTTTGCCATCTCAGTGGTATAAAAAAACAGCGCGGCATTGACAGTTTTGTACTGTACTCATGAAACAACAATTAGGAATTAGCTTAGAATTGGGATTGTTTCCCAATAGTTTGCATTGGCAAGTTACACTAATGTACATCTATCGGTACAATTTGGAACTATTATATAGCTAGATTCGAGAGTGCGGAGCCTCTCAATTCCATTATAGATCTATTGAGATTCGTTTCAAGAATAACCCCACAGGTCAGTATTTTATTAAGAGATATTAGTGTAATGTACTAAACGCGGAATTTAAAAAGTAACTATTACATAAAATTGTCACAAAATGAGCTTTATAGCGTCCATATTGTTTAGAGCGGTTGATGGCTTTATAGCTGTAAATATTTATATTAGGGGGCATTCAAGTATTATGTAATACAATTTATGAAGTTTTTTGACCCTCCCTCCACTCTATATTTGTCTGTGTCCCCTCCCCCTCCCTAAACATTACGTAACACCCAAGTGGCCATTTTCAAATAATATTAACTGATACTGACAACGAAAATAAAAATGACATACAATACAGTCGAGGGATTCCCCTAAATCATAAACGAAAAGGGTTGCTAGTTTGGGAGATTTTAATTCCCTTATTTTTTATTTAAATAAAAAAAAATTACATAACGCGTTTATCGTACCCCACTCTTGCACCTGAAACGCATCGTAACCTTTTACAAGACTCCCCTCCCCCTCTTCACAAATAGCATTGCGTAATACTTGAACGTTCCCTAACTGATGCATTGATGTACAAAAAATCAGAGACTAAAGAGTGACACTGCAAATTGTACAATTAATTCGAACCAACAACCGATGTCATGTTTGTACTCAAAGATGGAGATGAACAAAATGCTAATACAAATCTTTGTAGAAACAAAAAGATTTAAACATGGAGTTTCATATTAACAGTATTTACGTTTATTGTTATGGATAATTAAATTCTTCTTCTTTATTGCACACAAAAGGTTATTGAAATGTAAAACAAACATAATAGTGCACAAAGGCGAGCTTATCTCCAATAGAGATTTCTTCCAGCAGACCCAATATGAGAAAACTGACAGTTCATTAGTAGTTACAGTCATACATGTGTACCAATCGACTTAAATGTTATAGTTAAAAATAAATATATATATATATATATATATATATATATATATATATATATATATATATATATATATATATATATATATATATTACACAAATATAATAAGTATGTACATCAGCATTGTGAGATGTAATAATTCTTCAGACATGATTTGAAAATTCCAATGCTTGGGCTATTTCTAATTTTCTTAAATATTTTTAAATTAAATCACCACATAATTGCATACAGTGTACTCTCCAGTCTCCAGTATCGTGACTGCAAAATCTATATCTGTGATATAATACCATAAGTAAATAAATGCACTACACTCAACTCGTTCTTTTGTTCTTAAATTGTCTATTTTAAATTTAAACCCCTCCTCCCCCCCCCCCCACTTCTCTTTATCATAATAATCTAAAAGCTCTCATAAATCTATTTTAGTTATTTAAGTGTTTTGTACTAATTTCTTAAATAGAAAATCAAAGTGACAAAAAACTCTAATAGTTAAAATATGTTTGTAAACATGTTTTAGTTTTTATGAATAACAGGCTAATATATTATTTACATGTAACATTTTGTACTCTTATGACGTGAATCTTAAATTTTTTGTATATCAATGTACGGATAACATTTTATGATATGTATAAAATAATAGTTCTAAGTGTATTTTAATGTACAATTTGTATAAACACTTGTTTAATTGTGCACTTGCGGTAAATATAACAGCCGCCTTATTCATAAAAACTAATTGTTTTTTTTTATATAACAGCACGACGTGTGATAACGCCATTCAGAGTGAACACGGGAACAATATGGTTCAGGAATGGTATAAAAAGTCTCTCTCGAATGTAAACACATGCTCTGTAGATCTGATTGCTCTGTGTTTACAGAGCAATCAGATCATCAGAATTATAGTATTTTTTTTAATTACTATAAAAGAAAAATTTCGTACTGTTTACAGTTCAATAATTAAGCTAAACGTTATAGGTATTTATGAATAAGAGGGTAACATGGTTGTTTTATTAAATTCTTCAACTGCTTAATTCAATATGGACGCGCCTTTATATAGTTTAAGTCCTATATCTTATATAGAAATAGATCCGGTTTATTTATTTTATTTTCCTTTAATTTTTTTTTTTTTTTAAATATGCAGACCAGTTTTGTGAGAGACTGGTGTTTGCGGTAGGTTTAGAAGAACCTGTGTTACAAGTCACCAGTGCCCCATCTCCACTTTTATTTATATATTATATATTATTACACGGTTTATATTACTATAACACTCGCTTTGAGTGCTTTAGTAACACTTAAATGTGTCTTGTGAGTGGTACAGTCAGCATCAAAAGTAGAGGAACGCGTACAGAATTGCAAAATCCGTAAACACTGTTGTCTACATAAGTATGCAATTTAGACAAGATTTGCGTAATTATTACTAATTAATAATTGACGCGTAATTAATCTAATAAAAAGTTATTAGTATAGTACTCCATTTTTGTTTTAATTGTATGAAACTGGAGTCACTAAGATTTCACTTGGAATAGCTTTATTTGGAAATGCCTTGTTGAAATTTTGATAATTCGTTTCTATAATTCGTGTATGTTTTTGAGTTTATACTCTTTTTATTAAATTATGCATTAAATGTTAGTTTCTTCCTGTGCTCACGGCCACTCGAACCACATGCCGAGAACTTGAACTCAGGCCGCGAGCCTGTGACATTTTGCTCGCTTTGAATTCTGTTACGCCATTGATTGCTAGCAATAGAGTCGCTAGCCTTAATTACTAGCAATTCCTGTCCCCGCATATCTTTATATGCCACAGACTATAATGGTTTTAAAAATATAATCGAATGATCTCTTTTGATGCTGACCGTACCATTCAAAGGCTACCGTTTACACGCTACTAAACTGAAGCATTGATATACGAGCTTTTTTATTAATATAAACCGGACATTAACATTTGGCAGCACCTTACGATTGTAAAAAAAATCTATTCTAAAAATATATTTAATCCCACCAGTGGGAGGCGATGTTGGGAATTGTATAACACATCTATTTTGAAATGTAACCAAAATGAATGGAATGCAATAATATTTGGAGAAAAGTCGTATTCGCTGTAATAAAGTATTTTTTTATTTGTATTTTCTTTTTTATTTTCTAATTCTTTTTTTATTGCAAAACATTTTTATTTATTTTTTATTTAAAATTTTTAATCGTTTTTTTTTTAGCAATATGGGAGCGTGGCCTAATGATTATTTTGATTTGTAAAGATTGGCTTAAAATGTCGATTAAGAGGATACGACTCATGAAAGACTTTTTTATTTTGCTGGGTATTATATACAAAAATATTAGAAATTTAATAATTATTAATGGTCGTAATACAAAGCGCCATAGTTCCAAACTTAGAGACTGATAAATCTGCTTTCTTTTTTCCTAAATATGTACATAGAAATATATACATACTAAATGTCTATCATACGGGAATCGATCCCATAACCTTTGGAAAGTAAAGGAAGTACGAGTATATCAAATCGTTTAGTGAACACGCTTTCCTATACAAACCTATCCATTAACTATTACCCAGCAAAATTAAAGACTTTAAAATCCTAACCATTAATTATTACCAGCTAAATTAAAAGGAACTTAATCCATTAACTATTACCCAGCAAAATTAAAAGACTTTAAAATCCTATCCATTAATTATTACCAGCTAAATTAAAAGGAACTTAATCCATTAACTATTACCCAGCAAAATTAAAAAGACTTTAAAATCCTATCCATTAATTATTACCAGCTAAATTAAAAGGATTAGGATCAGGAGGACAAAAATTATCAATTATCACATTGTACATAACAGTGTGAGATAGTTTGTGACAGACATGTGAAACTAGAACATACAAACGTACGCGTAGATTGTGCCTATAATTTTATTGTTATAATACTTGAGAGCGTTTATACCGAAGACTGACGATGATCTTTTATTATTTCACTGGCCATTTGATTAGAATTATTTTATTTAATTCCGCTACCATTAGTATGCGTGTCACTGCCAACACTTCAAGATTGATTACTATTATTATTATCAGAAGCTCTACAACCTTCCATATTAGCCATCAATCGCCGACTCCCATTTCGTTCACGCACGTTTTGCATCTTCAGGCACATTAATATTTGCTGCTTGGAGCCTAACTGTTCGACATCCAAACTGCGAAGATTATATTATTTCATTAATTGCCCGTCCTGGCTTTGCACGAGTTTACTAGTAAAGGAAATCAGACTGAATCTACCCTCTCACTCATTTTTTTATATGTGATTTTTTTTTAACCCAAATTGTTCATTTTCCTCTCATATTCGTCGTCCTCCGTGGCGCAGCGGTCAACACGCCTGCCTGCGACGTGGAGGCCCCGGATCCCCGGCCAGGTTATGATGGAAAACGATCTTTTCCTGATTGGCCTGGGTCTTGGATGTTTATCTATATATGTATCTATTATAAATATAGTACCGTTGAGTTAGTAGCCCATAACACAAGTCTCGAACTTACTTTGGGGCTAGCTCAATCTGTGTGATTTGTCCGTATATATTTATTTATTTATTATTATTTTTTAAATATTTAATATCATACAAATGTCATTACAAACACGTTAATGCAATAATATTGTTATTAAGCTATCACTGAAAATTGGAATTTTGTTGGCAATAATGTAAATGAAAAAATCCGAAGCAAAAATTATGAAGTAAGTGCAAAGATTTTAATGGCAGATTAATATGCAACGTATTCTGTGGTAAATGGTTTAGTTCGCTAGCAGTGAACTTTTTAAATAAATCAGCCAGAAATTTTGAAAATTGTTGAATTGTTTTTGAAAATTGACATGTTTCCGACGTTGTCATACTTCAGTGTAGGTATGGGTAATATTGGTAGCTCTGCGATATCTATATACTCGGTTCATCTGGATATTAATGGCGGTAAAACGGTCATTACCCATTCCGATATCGCCTGTACCGATCGGATATCCAAGGGCCTACCATGAAATGTTTTACGAAATTTCGAGCCCGAACGAAATACAAATATGATGTTAAAATTACATAATACATACTGTTTAAAGATGTTGAAAATTTTAAAATATCGTTCCTTTGGACTTTAATGGTAAGATTTATGACGAGCGAAATGTTAAGCTCCATTTACTGGGCCGATTTTGGTATGAACAAAAAACACGAAATTGAGTCCGAAAATTCGGAATTTCATTTCATGGTAGACCCCCAATATTCATTTCGATCGGGTTCTTGATTTCGACACTAATTATTAGATAACATATTCGTTGTTGGGCCAATATATAGATATTGTAACTATATATATATATATATATATATATATATATATATATATATATATATATATATATATATATATATATATATATATATATATATATATATTGCCCACCTATACTTCGGTGAGCTATGATATGAACGCTCTTAATAGGTCTTTGTAAGAAGTTATTTAACATAAGAAATATATGCCAGTGTTTTATATTATGCATTTTGTTTCATTTTAAACCGACTTTTTTTTATACAACTTAGAATGGCAAACAAGCTGACGGCCCACCTGATGGAAAGTGGTAACCGTCGCCTATAGACATGAGCAGTACCATGGACTAACAGAGTATACTGTTTCGCCCATGATACCCCCCATACGTTGCCATTCCTAAGGACTCGGGTGTTATTCCTCTGTACCCTGTAAATTCACTGCCATATCGTGGGATACCTTTAAACCGAAACACAGCCATGCAACAACTACTTTACGGTTGAAACACAAATTGAACAGACAGAGGTACTCAAGCAAACGACTTTTATATAAAGTCTCCCTCTGGTAACTAGAAAACAAACTAAAGTTCTACCCAACCATCTGGTTAAGTGGCGGTCCTATACCCTGCATTTTTTAAGCCACTTTCTTCCAAGCACACCCACACTTTGGAAACAATTTCCAGCAGCAGTATTTCCGTACATCGACATCATAACCTTCAAGAAAAGAGCATATTCCTTTTTAAAAGGCAGGCAGCACACCTGCCTCTGGTGTGGCGGGTGATCATGGGAGTTAGTTGTCACTTACCATCTGGTGACCCACATGCTCGTTTGCCTCCAGTGTTATAAAAAGAAACTTAAATAAGTTTCTCGATCCGATTGTTTCCTGGAATTGTTTTCAATGGATGATAATGGAACGATAACCCCGCTTGCGCGGTTGTCAGTATTAGGGGCTAGCGACTCCCATTGTTAACAATATAGGTTGACGAAGCCGCAGACTCCCCTTGGGGAAAGGGATTGTTAGCAATGGAGTTTGACAGC